ACAAGGTAAGGACTTCTCTCCAGCCGAGATGGACACCCTCACACAGTGACAAACATCACCTGTACACAACATCTACAACCTCGAGCCTATGATAACGTTACCGGACAGTTAACAAAGGAACATACTTTTTGAGTAAAAACAAAAACAAATAAATACAAGGTCATCGAAAAGGAATGCGAAGATTTTTAATGGTTATATATAAAGATCTGCACATTCTTTTTCAATGACCCCTAATATACAACATAATGATATCACGTACACCACACAATGCATACACAACCAAGTTGAAGGTAATAGCGTCATATATACCTGTTGTTGATGCTATATGTGACGACAGAGAAACAAAAGAAACCTAGAGACTGGCGACAACGTGTATCAGTGCAGATGACAACACAATACCTAGGTACGTTATATGGAGAGAGCGAGTGCCGGCAGGAGCGTCAGCACTAACTTGGCGTATCTGACTGGGGAAGAACTTGTAGTAAGAGCTGAACATTATCTTACCTGTAGATGTGGTGGCCTTCTCGAACTTGAAGCTTGGCCTCTTGTAGAGCGCCGGGGAGACCGGCAGATACGACCTCAGGTGACCATTGGACTTGGTCATACTCAGCACCGAGGACTTGGTGTTGTTGTTGGCGTTGTTGTTATTGTTGTTGTTGCTGGCATTGGTATCGACTAGGGAATCGATGCTGGCAGCGCGTCTGAGAGGGGGAGCCCCGTTCTTACTGCAGGAGGGGGGAGGAGGAGAAGAAGGTCATTATACTGATCAGAGGACAACACTCCAGGCAAAAGGTCACACTGAGCCTAGCATGTGGCCAGTCGAAAGAGAAGGGGGATTACTCAACAGTCTTCTTTATATTTTTAATCTAAATAATTCCAATAATTAACTACTCATTATTTGTTCAAGTCTTACAAGATTACTGGAAGTCTAAGGAAAATTACTCAGCTAGAATATTATCTTACAGGTAAATATTATAACAATACTTCTAATACCTACAAGTTTTTAAGTGTTTCAGTAAGTCGGAGTTGGCTGAAGGTCAGTTTAAGAAGACTGTTTCAGTATTCAAGATTCACACTGTCAGTTTTCTATCATGTGTGTGTGTGTGTGTGTGTGTGTGTGTGTGTGTGTTGTACTTCAGATATGGACCTTTAAAACACCGTCAACATCCCTGGTTGACTTCTGAACACCTTTTAAAGTCCTGTATTATACACAGAAGATAAAGAGAGACTGAAGTACCACACAAATATTTATTACAAACAATAATCTAAATACACTCCTCTAACAGTGGCAGACAGCGAGTACCTATGGACTTTGACAATGCTTAAAAGGGTATACCTGAACCTTTAGATCTTGTAAATTCATATATAATTTGCAAGTGAAATATCTTTAGTGTCATCTGTTTTCTTTATCCAAAAAGTCAATAAGTTAATAGTTGAAACAATTGATCTTACTACCATTAGCGTCAATAAAGTGTATGATGCTGATTACACTAAATACCACATCAATTTATAGGGAGCAATATACCTGTACCAACTGGGGGTCATATAAAGGAAACACCAACAGTAAACATTAAAATACTAAATACTGCAGAGAATTGTACTCGTTTATTCATGCAACATTAAAAAAAAATATGTTTCAGGAGCGCAAACAGCGGATGGAGTTAAAAACCATCGTTAAACATTTCAATTTAATTTGAAATTTTAGTGTAAATACTGATAGTAAGTTAAAGAAAAATAAATAATAAAATTACAATACATTCCAATCAAATGGGGATCATCGCCAGTTCAAAGGCTAATTAAAGTTCAACTGACTGGTTTTGAGAATTAACACATTATTTTATTCAACTTCAATTCAGGTATTTGATCTTATTTATCTAATTTTTAAATTTTTCTAATCATAGTACACTTCAAATCTAAGGTTTTGATGAAATACTGCAAAGAATTATTTGTTTCCGAGTAAAACTTTTATAGATCTAATCTAGTTCAGTGATTACAATGTCCCGCCATATATGTTGTGCTCTCTTATGGCGCGGTATTGTTTGCCAGGGTAAGGTCTATAATAGGATCCATATAGACCTTGTGTGAGGGCTTGACAATTACCAAATATTATAATATATTATTCAATTAATAAAATATTACAATAGCTAATGATATAGTCATGAAAATCTTGGCAAGAATCAATAGCAAGTAGATATTTAAATGCAGTTTTATCGATCCTCTCGGAAATCCGAACAAAAGTGGAACGAATAGGTTCTTGAAACTGTTAGTTATTATAATGTTATTAATGCCCTTCAACAACTAAAGTTGTTAAGCGCAGAACAAGGTTAGCAATACACTAGTTCAACACAAATTGTAAAATATGAGAGCTAGAACTTGAAATTTGACCCATTTTCTGCTAATTCATCTAAAAAAATTATTTCATCCAAGCTGTAGGATAATTCTATACTTCAATAAATATCTTGTTACTCATGTCAAATCCTAATACTGTAATCGGAAACTCAATTTGTGATGATAACATTCCTTCTATCCTATATGGAAGCAATAAAAATGAATTCAAATACGTGGTTTTCAGCTATTGTCATAATGTTATCTCAAATCTGTCAGAACACATTTACACTGTATTGCAACTAATTACAACACAGTCTACACCTAACGTATTATTTCCGAAATATGCATAGCTTAAAATATACAGTCACAACAGTGACTACACTCTTATTAAGGGACAATTCAGAATAGTTTTTCTGATGGTCTGACCCTCGCAGTCAATTAGATGATAAACTTTTAGAGAAGAAATTCACCACTCGTCAATTAATTAGCGGTTTACACACGGACAACACGGGAAGATATCTATATACAGTATTGTATAATGTAAGTTCCTTTTTAATTAGCAAAAGAATACAGGCAAATGAAATCCTGAGGTATTAGCTCTAAGTTGCTGATATTAGAAAGAATTTAGTGATCTTAAACTAGAACTAATATTGATGAATGTCGTAGCGTCTGGGGAAAACTAACACAATGAATGAGTTAATATAAGAACAATAAAATTAAGGCAAAATAAAACTATGTCCTCCTGATTTTTTATTGACAAATTTAATTAATTAAAACTATAAATATAAGAAATTATATTGACAACAGCGGCATAAACTTAAATAGACGTTATTGTGAACATATCTCTGGCGATGATCCACATTTTATCTTAACTCCTGAGTACACGAATATCAATAAATATGCAGACAAGAAAATGATGCATCCGAATCATTAACTAACGTAGAAATCTTGATGAGGGAAAAAGAGCGAGCATTCCTAAACACATTTAAAAGACGACAAAATTCTTACCGTCTACCATACCAACATTACATCAGTTGGCCCGACAAAGAAAACCATGACGAGAGAGAGAGAGTTGTGAGGCACTAGCACAGGGGGAACTCTAGTATCCTAACACTTCTCCAACGGACAAAGAAGACTTACGGTGATTGGGTATACATGCTAACGCGATACATTTCAACTTCTATCAGTAAATGACATGAAAATAAAAACAAAAATCTCGCAAATATTATACGTAAAGATGAAAGATAATTAAAAAGAGTGATAAAGAATGAAAGTATTACCAAGAGCAATAATAAGTACCTGCATACATTGTACGAGACGACTGACAAAGGAACACAAGACAAGACTCCAAGCGACGCTGAGTGCTGTACAGAACACAGTATACAGTACTGGAGGCTGAGCAAAGCGTTGGAACTGCGATTAAACAAGCAAGATACCAAAGTACTGTATATGTAAGAGGTAAGTTTCGACACGGGTATTTCTCATGTAGGGGTGTGGCTCCTGCTGGACTGACACTAGTTAGGAAAGGGCATTACTACAACATACTGTACAGTATTTATATCCACATTAATTCATATTGTTACTGATAAGACTTGAAATGTTTTAGCAGGCAGCTGAGATTGATTTTATTTTACAGTTAGCAAAATCAGAGAAAGAAATGAAAATTATTTCCAAAATAACATTATGTAGAGACGAAATTAATTTACGTACAGTTTTCAGTACTGTAAAATAATCACAGCTTATATTGATTTCATTCACATAGTTATTATATTAATAAAAATTAACAGTGAAGCTGTGGTATTAGCCGTGTGTGTATGGTGACATGTATTGTGGATCACAAAGCAACATGACCAACTCCAGCTCCAAGGGGAACTAGGAAGCTTGAATGAGTGATAGCGGAAGCATGCAGGCCTGGGAGGGGGCGGCTCTGGCTGCCACACCCCCATCTGAGTTAAAAGTAAAGGTAGAGGAAAAGGTTTTCCCAGTAGCAACCCAAAATCTCTTTCCTGAACAATCTGATCGATGCTTCCTGCATGGACGGCCGATGGAAACGGAGTCGCAGAGAACGTCTGGCGTTGAGGAGAGTGAGAGTGTTAGCCAGGGTGAGGGGAAACAAGGATGAAGGTATGAGGAAAACATTTACAGGTGAAGTGACTGAAATCACTATGTAGTGCAGAGAGAAGTAATGGAGTGTAATTAATAAATTTTAATAACTCTTAATTTAAATGAAATTTGCATTATATATATATATATATATATATATATATATATATATATATATATATATATATATATATATATATATATATATATATATATATATATATATATATATATATATATATATATATATATATAGGTGTGAGTGTGTAAAATACTCACATAAAAGATAAAAATAAAACCTAACACAGTATCTACAGATATGGAAAAACATCATTATTGCTGCATCTGTTAATAAAACAATTTAACTGGATTAAAGGAACATAGAAATCAACATTAAAAATAAATTCAATGAAAACACTAGTGAAGAGAGATAGAAAGGAGAACCATGATCAGGCGATGAAGAGCTGAGTGTTCAGCTCTGTAGAAGACCTCTATCAGGTTCCTTAACACCCCGGCCACACCAGACTCACCCATGGTACACTCTGGGGGACAGTACCCACTACACCACGGAACACACTTAACATGGGGCCGTGAGGTTCACAAACTGAGGTGCAGACACTGAACAGATATTAAACACGTGAAGTTTTACCGATATATCCTGTTCTCTCCCTCCACACACCCCTAGTTCCTCCCTCCCTCCACACACCCCTAGTTCCTCCCTCCCTCCACACACCCTTAGTTCCTCCCTTCCTCCCTTAGTTCCTCCCTTCCTCCACACCCCTCTAGTTCCTCCCTCCTCCACCCCCTAGTTCCCCCTCCCTCCACTCCCCTAGTTCCTCCCTCCTCCACACCCCTCTAGTTCCTCTCTCCCTCCCTCCATCCATCCATACCCCATAGTTCCTCCCTTTCTCCTCCACACCCCTTAGTTTCCTACCTACCACCACACCCCTAGTTCCTTTCTCCTCCCTCCACACCCCCTAGTTCCTCCCTCCTCCACACCCCTAGTTCCTCCCTCCCTCCCCTCCCCTCCTCCTCCATCCATACCCCACAGTTCCTCCCTTTCTCCTCCACACCCCTTAGTTCCTACCTACCTCCACACCCCTAGTTCCTTTCTCCCTCCTCCACACCCCCTCGTTCCTCCCCAATCCACACCCCCTAGTTCCTCCCTCCATCCACCTCCTAGCTCCTCCTTCCCCTCCACACCCCCCGAATTCTACCTCCCCACACCCCCCTAGTTCCTCCTTCCATCTACCCCTACCTCCCTCCCTCCCTCCCTCCCTCCATCCATCCATACCCCATAGTTCCTCCCTTTCTCCTCCACACCCCCTTAGTTCCTACCTACCTCCACACCCCCTACCTCCTCCCTCCCTCCCTCCACACCCGTGTGACTGGATTTTATATATTTATTTATTTATTTCACCACGAGTTCATAAAATAGGTTTCGCACTAAGAGAGAGCTACAGTATAATTATAATTCAATATAATTACGTATATTTTGTAAATAAATAAATTAAGAAGTCTAATTCATTGATACTACTATTGTATATTCATTTTACAATTAATGAATGAATGATCTATGTATTTACAGGAAAACATCACCTTTACGCCCCAACCTGTGAGTCAGACCTCTGAGAAAAAAATTACCAAATTCTGCGTTAACGCTTTTGAAGAATTCTGCTGAGCTGGTGAGACGGGGAAATATTAAAAAAAAAAAATGTGAACTGATGAATATACTGTACAGAGCAAACATCCATTCAATTCTGAGGAAATGTATATATCTTATTTTCAGACAGGGAAATAAGGGAGGAGAGACTGGGTTTGAGTACATTATTTATCCCACCATCTTTCGCGTCCCGTTTTTTCAGTCACCCACCCTTCCATCACAGCTACTATGTGCGGGCCAGACTGACCTTAGTATACGCGGGCGTCGTTGATTATTCTTATTCGTCTGCATTTCCAAGTCTTTTATAGCTTTTTAATGTATTTTTTTAACAAATTATTAAAATGATAGAGAAGCATTTTTCGACATTATACCACGAAACAAAGTAAATCACTTACTTAACATCGTCTTGCTTGCACCAATATATCACTTAATATATGTAGCTATCAACTCTCTTAACTAGTCCACGCTGGACCCTGGCTTGTCAGCGTGCAAAGTTTCTTGTAACTATTGTAAGAGTTTATACCTACACCTGCCATATATGGTGATAAACATATTGCTGTCTTATTATACTTTCTTCTCTAATTTCAAACAACTTCATCTGAGTAGCAATTCTTTTAATACCTTACTTAACACTTAGCAGAAACATCAGTAGCCTTTTTTTTTTACAGACCAATGCTATTCAACCTTTTTTGATGTCGTCCACCCCTAGTGATGGAACTTAAAAGCTGTCCACCCCAAGTGGTAACCAATTTTTTGCTAATCATGAAAGAGAAAAAACAAAACATCAGTTTCACTTGTATTTATTTACCATTTTGTATTGTAATGTAATTTAATATATATTTTTCCATTCGGAACAAAATTACTTTTTATTAAACTAATTAAAGGACAATAATGAATTAAAGAATCATAGGTATAATTATGAATGTTTTGGTGAATCAGTGACGGATTTGCATTTCGTCCATTTAATGCCCTCTTCAATCATAAAATAATTCAGTTTCTGGAAAATGTTCTCCTGTGTTGTTTTAACCTCCAGTTAGAGGCAGCACAAACAGTGTTCAACTATTGTCTTAGACTCTAAATCTGGAAAGCAACAGTACACAATCAACTGCATTTCCCCTCCCACATCTGTTGCTTCGTCCAGTTTCATGGTATATCAACACAAGCCTTGAGAAAGAGAGTGAAACGCTACCTAACCTACTCTCTCCATGACAGCCAACTGGGCACTGACTTAGAAATTTAAAACTGAATCCACTTCCCAGCACTCTTTTTCTCATTGTTTGACGTTTCAAATATTACGGGTGACGTCATGTTTCCATAGAAACAATGCAAGTGACACACATTCATACGTGTCGCCATCCTTTCAAATCTCGCCCACCCTAGGGTGGACTGTCCATCCAGATTGAATAGCACTGTTATAGACTGTCTCTCAGTTCACAAACCACCAAAGTAAATCCGTGATCTTTTCTGAAAACAATAACAGTTATAAAATCTTAACAAATATATTTTCTGGTATCTAAGGTCTGAAAGATTCCCATTTCCCAAGATTACAGTCATCCTGACCTTCAACCATGCTAGCACGAGTCCGCAACAGCTGAACTTACGAGGAACCTGCCAGGACGTGGATTCTGAAAGCTCCGTATGTTGGTTTCTTCCCGTAACCGGAAAAGAGAGAACGCGTTGAGTCTCAGTAGTTTCTTTGTCATCTCGTCTCACCAGACCACCTTTATGTAGGTTTTAAATGAGTCGGGTAGAGGCGTTCACTGTAATAGGGGTACTTAACCGCATTTGACTTTTAAAGCAAATTTTTATTTTATTTTAATTTTGATTTTCAAACTTATTAAACTTCTTATTTTATTTATATCATATCATATACTTTTAACTCATGATTTTCCTCATTGCTATAGTGTAGGTTTCGTGCGGCTGTCCATGAATTTAGTCCTAGTGTGTACTGTACTGTACGTCTTTTGATCAAAATAATAACCTAACTTTGACTTCGAACGCAGGCAAGGGGCCTCACAAGACAGTAGCTCTCGTATATATCGTGGTCAGCGCAGCGCTGCTCTACCACAGCATCCAATACCCTCGAGCAATTCGGGAAATGGAAACGGTCTTTTCTTCTCTCGCCTCCAGCCTACTCCATGAACCCTGCCGCGGAGTTTCCGCACTATCTTAGAAATAATGAGCACAGTATATTTCCGCCGACCCTGACCGTGGCGCCCCCAGCCTGGTGGGCGTCTTGCTCATATTTCCCGTCAGCAATATTGCATCCTTATTTCCCGGCAGCAACCAGTGACCCGTTATTACAAGACTGATCCCAGCCAGTCCAGAGTGAATCTTACTATCTTACTGAAATGCATGAAGACTATCGAAAAAGCTAAGGATCCTTTAAGTTTGTAAACACTGAGCTGGCTGGTGGACAGCTCCACCAGCCAGCAAGCTACTAGTCGGTTATTCTCTGCTAATGGTTCAATTTTTGTCCCGTCTGCCACATGGTTGGTATTACTGGCAAGTTTGTGCAACATCGTGTACATTTTCTACACGGGGTTGAAAACATCACACTTGGTAAGAGTGTAAATATTTGGGTGGGATTTGATTATAACAAGCGGAACATCCAAACATGCATCTCAGGAATTACCCGCTTGTCACTATAACTATGGAGGGTGTGTGTCGACGGGTAAGAGGGAGCCAGGTGGCCGCCTCCGCATTACGCCAAAACGTCACAACACAACGCCACAACATTCACCACAACACTGAAACCATCACGGAGGACAAGCAGACATTCGTACTAAGCCACTTGCACCGCAACAGAATAAAATAAAGTTGATTAATTCCTCGCAGGTTAGTTTAACAAAAGCAGTTTAGATATTTTAATAACTCAAGGTGTGAAGCCTCTCTGCTGGACGTGGTGCTACAAGGTGGACTTCCCCACAATCTTAACCTGAGACAGCGCCGCTCCAGTCAAATTTATGTGAAACAATATTCAAACTGCCACGCCAAGTTATGGGATCTGACTCTGCTGACGTAGTAAACTGGAGCAAATAATGTTACAAGTTTCTAAAGGAGGAGGGTGGTCGGAAAAGTGGGGTAAGTAGGCGGGCGGGCGGGCGGGCGGGCGGGCGGATGGATGGGTGGGTGGGAGAGTTGGGTAAGTGGATTCGGTGAATGGGTGATGTGGATGGATTGTATAGTGAGGCAAGTGTAGTAGTGGATTATAATATGGGTGGTTTTGATAACTTGACAGAACGGGAGGAGAGGTTTGGTGTGAGGGAGGGCGACAAAAAAGACAGCGTCCAGCAGATAGACATCCCCACTCAGAGTATTAAATTTAAGGACACAGAGGCGGAGACGACGAACAAAAACATCAGCAGCTGTTGCCGTGCGCTGGCCACACAAGACACTCCATGGAAGTAAACATACCACTTGCGAGCCCTGAATCGCCTTCCATTCAAACATAGGAGAAGAAATTTATATTATAAATCAATTATCAAACTCTGATTTAACCCGAATAAAAGTCCAGGCAAAATCATGATTAAACTCTGATTTAACCTGAGAGAATCAGGCACACTTCAGCTAGACAAAATAAATAAATTGTGCTATTGTAATGGTTTCGTTAAAAATAATAGACATATATTAATTGAGAGGTGAGTGAACACGTGCTGCTAAAAGGTTTATTTCAGTAGCAACAAAGACTTTTTAGTTTTAATGCTATGCTATCGGTGGTGTGCTCATACACGGTGCTGTGTTAGTGTGACACGTGAGTGATACATGTGTGATACAGCAATATATACATGGGTGGGGCAGCAGTGTGATACATGGGAGGTGTAGCGTTGTGATAGATGGAAGGTGTAGCAGTGTGATACTTGGGTGGTGCAGCAGTGTGACACTTGGGTGGTGCAGCAGTGACACATGGGAACTGCAACAGTGTGACACATGGGTGATGCAGCAGTGTGACACATGGGAGGTGCAGCAGTGTGACACATGGGAGGTGCAGCAGTGTGACACATGGGAGGTGCAGCAGTGTGATACATGGGAGGTGCAGCAGTGTGACACATGGATGATGCAGCAGTGCGACACATGGAAGGTGCAGCAGTGTTATACATGGGTGATGCAGCAGTGTGACACATGGGTGGTGCAGAAGTGTGACACATGGGAGGTGCAGCAGTGTGACACATGGGAGGTGCAGCAGTGTGACACATGGGAGGTGCAGCAGTGTGACACTTGGGTGGTGCAGCAGTGTGACACAGGTGGTGCAGCAGTGACACATGGGAACTGCAACAGTGTGACACATGGGTGATGCAGCAGTGTGACACATGGGAGGTGCAGCAGTGTGAGACATGGGTGATGCAACAGTGTGACACATGGGTGGTGCAGTAGTGTGATACATGAAAGGTGCAGCAGTGTGACACATGGGAGGTGCAGCAGGGTGACACATGGGTGATGCAGCAGTGAGAGGCATGGGTGATGCAGCAGTGTGGCACATGGGTGGTGCAGCAGTGTGATACATAGGAGGTGCAGCAGTGTGATACATGGGAGGTTCATCAGTGTGATACATGGAAGGTGCAGCAGTGTGATACATAGGAGATGCAGCAGTGTGGTACATGGGGATGCAGCAGTGTGGTACATATGAGGTGCAGCAGTGTGATACATAGGAGATGCAGCAGTGTGATACATGGGAGGTGCAGCAGTGCGACACATGGAAGGTGTAGTAGTGTGATACATAGGAGGTGCAGCAGTGTGTTACATGGGAGGTGCAGCAGTGTGACACATGGGAGGTGCAGTAGTGTGATGGGAGGTGCAGCAGTGTGACACATGGGAGGTGCAGCAGTGTGATACACGGAGGTGCAGCGGTGTGACACATGGGGTGCAGCAGTGTGACACATGGGAGGTGCAGCAGTGTGATACATGGGAGGTGCAGCAATGTGACACACGAGACGTGCAGCAGTGTGACACATGAAAAGTGCAGGTGTGACACACATGAGTGCAGCAGTGTGACAAATGAAAGATGCAGCAGTGTGACACATGGACGGTGCAGCAGTCTGACACATGGGTGATGCAGTAGTGTGACACATGGGTGGTGCAGCAGTGTGATATATGGAAGGTGCAGCAGTGTGACACATGGAAGGTGCAGCGGTGTGACACATGGGAGGTGCAGCGGTGTGACACATGGGAGGTGCAGCTGTGTGATACATGGGAGGTGCAGCACTATGGCACATGGGTGGTGTAGCAAGACACATGGGCACTTCAGCAGTGTGGCACCTGTGTAGTGGAGCAGTAGGACACATGGGTGATACAGCATTAGTGAGACATGTGTTAGGTTTAGCTTTAGTGTTATATAGGAGTAACATATCAGTATGATACATGATTGATAAAGCATCGTGACACATGGGTGATATATTAGTGTGATATATGTGTGATACAGCATCAGTAAGACACATGAGTGATACAGCATAAATGGGACCCATAACTGGTCCAGCATTGGGGTACACTATTGAGAAGTGACACATAAATGATAAAGCAATGACATGTGTGTGTGTGATAAAGCAGTGATACACGAGTGTTATAACAATGTGACACAAGGGTGTTACAGCAGTGTTATGAGTGATGCAGCAGTGACACATGCTTTATATAATGGTGTGATACTGAGTATTAAACCAGAGTGGTACACAAGTGATACAGCAATGACACATGAGTGATACATCAGCGATATAAGTGATGCAGCAGTGGCACATGAATGACAAATGACACATGAGTGATACAGCAGCAACACCTAAGTGATACAGCGGTGACACATGAGTGATACAGCAATGACACGTGATACAGCAGTGGCTCATGAGTGACAGCAGTAACACATGAGTGATACAGCGGTGACACGTGATACAGCGGTGGCTCATGAGTGACAGCAGTAACACATGAGTGATACAGCAGTGATACATGATTGATACAAGTGACACATGAGTGATACAGCAGTGATACATGATTGATACAAGTGACACATGAGTGATACAGCAGTGACACATGAGAGATACAGCAGTGATACATAAGTGATACAGCGGTGGCACATGAATGATACAGCGGTGTGAGGGGCAGCACCAGGTACTGGTGTATATGAGCACAGAGACTAGTACAGGAGGAGGAGGAGGAGGACCGTTTGCCCGTCCCTCGCTCTCCCCTCCTACCCTCCGTCGCCTACCTCTCCAGGGAATGGGTCCTTCTCCTGTAGGACTCCTCGCCCCCGCGTGAGGTGTCCTTCACCAACAGTCTGGCGATCCTGCCGAGTCCTCCTGACGTCGCAGCAACAGCCCCGGGTACCTTGAGGCTGCCTGGGGAGCCTCCGGCGGGGGACAGCCCCACCATGTCCCCGTCACCGAAGGAGAGACGCCCCGGGCTGGTTCGCTCCCCGCCCCCTGAATCTGGAGATGCAAAGAAAAATAAACTTTAACTATAAATTGAATAAAATGGTAACACTGCTTAAAAAAGGCATTAAAAACTTCTGAAAGTTAAGAAGAAACAAACAAATAACGGACACTATTTTATACCCTGGTCACTTTGAACAAGTACGTGACGAGACAACCGGACAAGCACAGACCAAACCCAGAAATACGTCCATTAAAATAATCCAACTGAAATGAACTAAAATCCTCGCGCAACAGTGCATGACTTTCGTTTTCCAGAGTAAAATGTACATGTCACTAAAGGTGTGCAAATCTCCAGCCTCGCTGCATGAAGTTAGGTGACATGATGGAAACTACTAAATGTCATCTGAGATCTTGTTGAGATACAACTATATGCCAAGTTTGTTTATATATCACTTTATTTGTTGGAGTTACTGTGTCCACAGCGCCAGGGGTGGACGCGCACACAACTAACTTTAGTTTTGGGTTCCTATTAATCTCAGCACCTGCTGTAAGGTACATTATTATGTAATCTTAATGAAAACCGACGACACGACCCAGCCAATCAAATTGAGTCATTGCCAAAAACTATTAATAATAAAAAATACTCAATATTATAAAAGTATTATAATAAAAATAACATATAAAAGTACTAGTGTATAATGTCGGGCCCAGCACACACACACACACAAGTACAATACCGCCACCACTCCAGTGCAAGCTCCAGCAGCTACAGTGGGTGCCCATCCTCTCCAGTTAGTGCAGTCTGCCAAACTCCTGGGGGTAACTATAGACCACAAACTGGACTGGAAAGCCGATGTAAACAACACATTCAAGGCAGTCTCGTACCGACTCTACATGCTACGACGACTCAGGTCACTTGGGGCACCCACGCCAGAGCTGAGGACTATCTACAACGCCTTCATTTTCCCCAAATTAACGTATGCGTCACCAGCCTGGTCGTCTTCTCTCAACTCAACCCAACAACATCAGCTAGAGAAGGTATAGAAGAGGGCCTGCAAAATCATGCTTGGCGCAGACTACTCGGCTACAACAACGCTCTCTCCACCCTGGAAATGCCATACCTCAGTGACCTCCACCACCACGCACTAGCAGGATTTGGCAGTGGACTACTGCACCATCCTCGCCATCGCCACCTACTGCCACCGGCAGTCCCCCGCCCACCTCGCGCAGTCCGCCACTCCAACAAAATTCAGCCCAAAAGACCCCGCACTGATAAATATAAGAACAGCACCATCCCATCTATTGTTTAAATAATAAACAGCTCCTGATTTATGTACTGTACAACCATGTAAAGGTATTGAATGTATATTATTATGTTTAAATCACATGCAAGTTTGTATATTTTCAGCCACCGGCTGCAACTCTATTAATAAACCGTTTATTATTATTAGTAGTAGTATTATTCGTTATTTAAATGAAGCAACACAACGAAGATGATCACTAGAACAATAATCACCACCAATCTTCACTCTAAACCACACGAGTTCACTGAATCCGACATTATTACGCATTCAGCTTCTCCAAGTATGTTGAACAAAGTACTGTACAGTGTGTATTTATGTACGCGTCATCGGAATCATACGAGAGTCTCATTATACGGGCAGCTCATGCCACTGCATTCCAGATGGCAATACAGTAAACAGCATGTAGTAAAAAAAGAGTATATTTCTCAAAAATCATATAAACAACAAAAGAACTTCACTAAAATTAACAACACAAACGGAGGGATGAGCAGACTGTAGATATGAATTTAACAGGAAGTAAAAAAAAAAACATCAAGAACAAAAAGGCAACATTTTCAAGTGTCTGTTAATGATGTCGTGGATTCAGATGATGTCAAACAATAGAAGACTTTTACAACACAAGCAAACGTGGCGACAAGCCACAAGGTTGGACTTAACACAGAACAGGTAAAATATCGTTGGGTTTATGTGACATTTTTCGCATGTAAAACTCTGAGTCAAGACGTTTGGATTCAGATAATCTCCAAAGACAACGGAACACTTTACAACGCAAACCAAAGAGTTGCCGATACCCAGGATTTAATATTGGATTGAACATTATTTTCTCTTAAAAAATTCAGCCGTAAAATTACGCGTTTTGGAAAAAGAAAATCGAAAAAAAAACGAACCATTTTCCAGGGAGTCAAAGATAGAAAATGTGTCACCACCCAGGCTACAATAAACTGGACGTCTGGTCTCTTCCGGAGAATCAGTGAACCACATCTTTACGTGAAAACAGAGAAATACATTAGCGTTAGCAGGGTCCGAGAGCCCACCCCATGGCCCACACCAGCCAACTGTCTATTACCCTTAATGCAATTGACTCTCTCTCTCCGTTCTTTCATATCCATCATTCTCTGATAATCTTATTTGAACGTATTCCACCTTCCCTATTGCCCTTCCCCTTCTGGCCCACTACTAATGGGGCCCCGTCCTATAAGCTCCCCAAATCACAATAGGCCCCAAATCCTAATGGAGTTAAGATCCTATGGAGCCCAAATCCTAACGAACCCCCAAATCCTAAATGGTCAAGGCAGGTATCGGCACGTTAAGGGATTTTATTAACACCGAGGTCCATTATGACTCGGATCCATTTCACCTGAGGCCACTTTCAGGAACCCGAACCCATCCTATTTATCGCCCTGAAGTCCACTACCTTATCCCCACGCCTGAAACTTTTATCATTAACGTCAAATATAAGATTTTCTTCCCAGGATATCGATGTGTTTAATTTTTTTTTCGTAATTTCATATTTTTGTTATTTAATTTAAAAGAACCGAGACAGCTTCTTTCCCATTGTCCAAAACTTTTGAGAAATTTTATTCCTTACGTTTCATTTAAGCTTTCCATATTAGCTATTTTCCCCATGTTTGGTATTTTATTCCTAGTACTAGTATTCTATTTCCAGATCTAATACTTTATTCCCACAACCAAAATTTTATTCCAACTGCTAGGATTTGATTTCCGCTGCAAAGATTTAATATCCATCATATTTTTTTTCCACTAGAAGGTTAGTCCCACAACTATAATGTTATATTCACAAATAAGAATTTTTTTTTGCATGACTGGGATTTTTAATTCTTCCACTAAAAAGTTAGTCCCCAAAAGTGTAAAGTGTACTTTATTCCCACAAGTGAAACTTTATTTCTACAAGCAGAACTTTCTTCCCACAAGTGAAACTTTATTTCTACAAGCAGAACTTTATTCCCACAGACATCTTTATTCCCACAAGCAGATCTTTATCCTCACGATTAGGACTTTATTCCTACCAGTGTACTTCTCATTTTAAGTCAGAATACAAGACTTACCATCAAGGATTACACTCCGTTTCTCGTTCAATTTTCTCTCATCTCTTTCTACCTTTTCCTCCAGTCTATGGCGGAGACACAATGGACCAGGTCTTCATGCTTCACTTTAATCTCTCGACCCCAGAAAACTTATGGTTAATACTAATAAGAGGATGATGGAGAAGACGAAGGTAAAATGAGAGGTTGGAGGATGAGGAGAATAGAGGAGGTAGGAGAGGGGGGGTGGGGAGATGTGAGGGAAGAGGAAGGGGAGGAGAAGAAGAGAGGAAGAGGAAAGGTGGGGAGAGGAGGGAAGAGGAAAGGGGGGGGAGAAGAGGAGAGGGGATGAGGTAGGAGAAGTAAGCATGGAAGAAGAGGAGGGATGAGTGGGATGTAGAGGAGGCGGAGGGAAAAAGAGAAGAGAAGAAAAGGAGAGGATAAGAGGAGTGAGGTAAGAGAAAGGGGGGGATAAGGAGGAGAAGGTTGCAGTAGAAAGAGGGGACAAGGAGGACCGAGGAAAGGGGAACGAAGAAGAGACAAAGAGAGGAAAAGAGGATAATAAAGAAGTAAGAAGAGGTGGGGGGAAGAGAGGTAAACAAAAAGTGAGGAGGAGGAGGAGGAGGAACAACGGGGTCTACAAGCTCTCATCAGGACTATAAACTTTACCTCTATTGCCCTTTCCACCTCTTCCCCTCTTTGTTTTTTCCTATTTCCCCCTCATCCACTTCCCTCTTCCTCTTTCCCATTCCTTCCAGCCCATTTTTATTTTTCTACTTTCCTTTCCCCTCGTTACCTTCTGCCCACTTTCCCCTCCCCCCCTCCCAGCCATCCTCTTCCTCTCCAAACACAAATGATGAACGTATATCCTGAAGACAAAACAATCGTAATCTATCCTAAACTAAACTAACATAACCTGAGCCTGAAATATACAGAACCAACCTAATCAAAACTAGCTTGGAATCGTCATATTAAAACTTAAGTCTAACTGGAACTTGGTTTATTTCAGTTTCAAAATCTTTACTACCATTCTCCACTATCACACTTGTATTCTATGTAACGAGAACAACTTAACGGTACAAACAAGATAGAAATAATATCGAGAAATAAAGAGATAATTCAAACTGAACATAATTTTACACAATAATTCATGAAGTCTACCTGTGAGTCATGCAAAGCCCTTTTCATGAGCAAAATTAAAAAAACACACACCCTAATTGGATGTGGTTCATTAAAACTGTGAAGTTTGGAGTAGTTACCCCGTCAGTTCCGTTTTCTGTTCAGAATATTCAATACAGAGAGAGAAGAAATATAAATGGGCAACTAACTTAAGATGAAAAATAATTTTTTTCTTCTTCTTAACTTCCTTCACCTTCAATAACAAAACGAATACAGTAAATATAAAACTAGTATCAGGACGACAATTATTATAAAGTGAATATTTGCCAGCTGTTGGGCAGTTTTCACGCACACAACCGCGAAGTTAATCTCTTACTTAGATGAAACTGACCTGAACTTTACATAATCCTAACTAAACATACTGTACATTAGCGTTTTTATGCCAACTTTGTTTCGCTTAAGCTGGGCTCTGTTGGTTTCTGTCATGTGTTTAAGAGACTATATATTAATTATTGATTTAGCGGGCTTGTTCGTGTTACGCCTTTGTTACTGAAATATCGTTAGAGAAAACAGAATGCTGTAAAC